TAAGCCGACGCCTCTCAAAATAACACTAAAACTCAAAATCAAGTGAAGGAATATAACGGCACCCTTCTATTCAATAAACCTAAAGGAATTGAAAATCCACGAAAATTGATATAAACAACTGCCTCCAGTACCTCCGCCGTCTTTAAATTGCAATCTACCAATGAAGTCCCAAAAAAAAAGCGGAATAGTATTTTTGATCAAGAAAACTTATCACTATTCAGAGATAAAAAATAGTAAATATAGAAGTTCTTAGACAAATTATGTGAAATTGAAATTTCAAATTTAAAAAAACCATAATGGTTTACTATAAGTTGTCCAACACTTCACTAAGCAACCTTGAGTGAGGCACAATTATTAGTAATACTAAACATTAAGTCTCGATGTATACTAGTAGGAGATTTCATTTCTCATAATCATGCCTGGAACTGATCTAAAACAGACGAGAATGGAAAAAAAGTATTAACAAACTAAGAAAATCTATCTTTTTCTTCATAACAAGAATACCGTTATTTGTAAAAATACGGAAAACCATTGCCAAAGCCACATCGATCTCATTTTTTCAACTCTCAATATAGCGCAATTACTGAAAGTTAAGCCGACTTGAATAAATATAAACAGTATCTACCATCAAACTGCTTTCCTAGCTAACCAAACAGTGAAGTCATGGCCTCACCATATAGTCTATAAGTTCCTCAAGAAAGGTAAAATATCTCTATAGCCGAGTGTAATAACATTTTACAGTATATTATGCACATTGCACATTTATTCTTATCTATCTACATTTCAAAATTAGTACTTTATTATAACTTTTTCGCACTATCATGTATACAATTACTAAATAACCTTTAATAAGTTCTAATAAAGTTTACATAAAAAACAATGTAAATCCCATTTTGCTAAGCTTCAAAGTAACCGTATTATTTTGATTAGATCTGATGTATATCCTTCGAGATACAACTTTTGCGTTCAGATCCGTAAAATATAATAATTACCTCCGAGTATAATTAGCTTTTGCTGAAAATATGTGGACTCGTACATTTTTTTTTTTTTTATTGAGGCAATTTAATTCATACAGAATTATTATGCTAAGTACAATACGAACACATTAATTGATACAGAAGGATTGTGCATGTCTCAAGTTGCCTTTTCGTGTTTATGTGATTTCGTTCATTACAACGCAATTACAATGAGAGTTTACAATCACATAGAAAAGAGTATAGGATTTTACAGGTTTTTACGCAAGGGTTTAACAAAAAGACGTTGGAGGTGAGTGGTGGGGAGAATTTCATTTGTTGTAGATTTTTAAGAAGGGTTGAGCGGGAAATATTGTACAGAGGACAGAGCCAAAGTATGTGATCTAAGTCTTGTGAGTCATGGCCACACGAGCAGTCAGCTGAGGTAAGGTTTATCTTGCTGAGAGAGGCATTTAGACTATAGTGGTCCGATCGGCATCTATTTATGGTGGTGATGATTACCCTCGGTAAGTTTAAGCCGGAAAACCATGGCTTTGATTGAGGCGTAAAGTATTTTGTGAAGTATTTTTCACCTTTAGTTAGAGATTGTGCAATTAGAATGGAGTTAGTATTTTCAGTGGCAAGTTTCTTGTGTTTCTCTCTAAAATCTAAAAAATGTGTGGAATCGTGAAAAGGTTGTCAGGGTTTGACAGAGAGGCTTTTTTGGCTATTTCATCGGCAGTGTCATTGCCTTGAATGCCCGAATGAGATGGGATCCAGAAGAAATAGATGCTGTTCGGGCTGAGTTTGGAAAATTCGAGAGTTTTTCTTTTGATTTCGTATATGTAGGGGTTGATTTCAACTGACATTTTGGCGTTTTTGAGAGAGAGTAAGGCACTTAGCGAGTCAGAGAAAATAGAGTAATTGTGGGCAGGGTTTTTTAGAGCGATGTCAATAGCTAGCAGAATGGCGAGACATTCGGCGGTGAAAATGGAAGCAGTATTGTGCGAACTTATGGAGGAGGATATGTTCAAGGCAGGGCATATGCAGGTGCTGCCGGTTGAAGCAGAAAGCGGAGTCTTGCTGCCGTCAGTGAATATGGCAATCGAGTTATTTTCTGCGATTATGTTGTTTATTTCAGTGTTTGGGTTGATGGGCTTTTTTTTTAGCGAGATACCGAAATTTGTGTCTATGTTCAAGTTCTTTATGATTGAGTCGTAGTCTTGTATATGCATTTTGTAGTTGCTGCTGGAGTAAATGATATCTTCTAAGTCGCGGAGTTCTCTAGTGCAGATAGAAATGGTACGTACGTTATTTGAGAGGCGGTGGTTGGGGTTAAGGAGCTTCCTTTTAAAATGTTTGATTTTTTTACATGTTGACAAATTAGTGTTAGAGATTATTTTGGACAGGTAGCAGTTACACAGAAACTTTGCGCGCTCTTGTAGCAGGAGTAATTTGGATTCAGCAAGAAGAATGTTAGTAGGCGTGCTTTTGCGGAAGCCAAGGGCAAGTCTGATTGCTGAGAATTGGATCCTTTCGAGCTTTTCGATTTCTTTCAATTGTGTGGGGAAGTAGATAAAGCTGCAGTAGTCGAGACAAGAACGGACCTAGCTTTTGTACAAAATTAAAAGTGTGTCGGGGTCGGCGCCCCACCACGTACCTCTTACAAACTTGATAATATTGAGGGATCGAAGGCACTTGGCTATCATGGAATTGATGTGGTCTTTAAAGTTGAGCTTGTAGTCTAAAATTACACCTAAGAATTTTACAGAATGGCTGGATTGTAAAGTGACATTATCGACGACGATTTCAGAGGAATCTGGAGGGGTATTTTGGTTGTTGAATTGTATGTAGACGGTTTTGGTTACACAGAAATCAAGACCTAGTTCAGAAAGCTTAAGGTGGATTGTCTTTATGGTTTTTTCTAGCAGTTTTTCGCGGGATTTGATTTTTTGACTGAGATAGATAGCGATATCGTCGGCGAATTGAGACATGTTGACGCTTTTTGGTAGGCCATTAGCTACGTATGATACATAAATACAGTAAAAAAGAGGGCTTAGCACGCCTACTTGCGGTACGCCACGATTGACTGTTCTGGTGGCAGAGCCCAGACTGTCAGTGTGAATAATTCTGTCGGTAAGAAGGAATTGAACGAATTTGACGAGATTAGAGGGGCAGCCAAGTGAAGCTAATTTTACAAGTAAAAGATCTATTAGCACTTTATCGAATGCGCCACTGACATCTAGGAATGCAGCCAGAACACTATTTTTATTTGCGAAAGCCTCTTCGGTGTATACTAGAAAATTGGTGAGGTTGTCAGTTGTGCATTGGCCTTTTCGAAAGCCTGTTTGACTGCTAGGAAGAAGGTTGAAGTGTTCTATCCACCACTGCAGCCTGTTCTTCAGCAGGGTTTCGAAAAGTTTACATAAACAGGATGTGAGCGCTATAGGGCGGACATTCTTTCCATCGGACTTATTTATAAAGTGGATGAAAGAGTTTTTCCAGCTGTCTGGATAGGAATCGGTTGTGTGCATTTCGTTGAAAATATCTAGCAAGACGAGTTTATATTTAATGGGGAGGCATTGGATAGTGTCGAAGTCGATTCCATCAATTCCAGGGGACGACTTAGAGTTTTTACTTTCGAGGGCGACATTGAACTCAGTAAAGTCAAAGGGAGCACTGAGAAAGTCGTTTTCGTCGCAAACTGGCAAGTGGCTTGGGTCAGTGGAGCACCACGGGGGGCTTATTTTGTTGAGAGCAGATTCAATTTTAGATTGAGTTTGAAGGTTTTCAGAGGTGTGATCCGGTTTTGTTTTAGCCCATTTGTGTTTTAAAATTTTGCTAGAGTGCCACACGTAGCTACGATTAGATCTGAAGTTAAGTGAGCTAGCAAATGATCTATAGTGTAACTTTCTTTTTTTTTTTTGAATAAGTTAGTAGCTTGAGCGCAAGATTTTTTGTAAGATGTAAAGTCGTCGAGAGCTTTAGTAAAACGCCAGCGTTTGAACGCGGCTGTTCTGAGTCTTTTAAATTTGTCACACTCTGAGTCCCACCACATTACCGGGTTGCGATGAGTTTTGTTACAGACCGTTCTTTTTCTGGGGGAATTGTTTGCAATAGCCTCAGTTATAATATCAGTAAATAGGTTATATTTTCCATCTGCTGGTAGTGAATTATATTCATTGGAGAGAAGATAGACAAAGTTATTTTCGAGGCTAGTGTTAACTTTTTCCCAGTCCGTTCTAACTGATTTAACGTTGAATGACTTTTTGCGGTAAATGCTTTTAGTAACTGTTATGTTTATGTGAATAGGAATGTGGTCCGAGCCCCAGGAGTCTTTGGCTAGTTCAAATTTAATTTTGTCAGCAATATTTGGACTTGAAAATAAGAGGTCGAGGTTGGACGCGAGAGAGCCTTGGAACCGAGTGGAAGTGTATGTGTTATGGAGAAATAAGTCAGATTTATTGATACTTTCTGCGAGTCTGTCGCCGTTTGTGTCATTTTTTTGACAGTTCCAGCCTTTGTGGAGCGTTAAAGTCACCTAAAACAATTGTTGGATCATTTCTTTCGGCATGATTTAGTAGTGCATCCCATTGCGCTTGGGTTAGCGTACTACCCGGGGCTTGGTAACAAACAATTACATTTAGTGGAGGAGAAATGTTCGTTAATCGAATGCCGGCTATTTCAACTGTTGGGTCGGGGCTCTTGAGGTCGGTGAGTTCTGTGAAAGCTAGGTTGTTGCGCAAAAGTATGAGAATGCCGCCACCAATGGCATGGGAGCGATCTTTGCGAAAGGTCTTGTATCCCGTGAAATGAAAGTTTTTATTTTTTTCAGTTAGCCACGATTCGGCACAGGTAAAAATGTCAATTTCGGGTAAAGTTTTTAGGAGGTCTTCTTGTTTATTCACGATGCTTCTTGGATTCCAGAAGAGTAATCTGAGATCTTTCAGTTGAGTGGATGAGCTGTTTAAGCTGGTGGCAATGAGAGGTGTTTTGACAGAAGTAATATTGTTTTTTGCACGGGAAGTCATTTTGGAAAAGAGAGTGTTAGGTTTGTGACGAGTCGCTTTCATGTTCGGTGTCGATAACGCTGTAGGGCATTTTGGAGAGTTTCTTTTTCAATCGCGTTAAGCGCCCTTTGAGTGTTTTGTTTTCAATGAATTGATATATCTGGTCGATAGTAGAAATTACACCGTGTGAGCTGTCCGTGATGGTTAGAACAATACCTTGAGCGTCTCGTTGCGCGTGTGTTTTTGCTAGTATTGTTTCGAGAGTATTGAGATTGATTGGAGTAGCGGCTTGATGAAGCTTCAGTGCCTCATGAGCTGGACGTAGTAGCTCATGGAGATTTAAGGTGTTGTTGGATGCGTCCGAATCATCATCCTTGAATTTCTTTCGGGGATTAGGACGTTTGAATATGAGGCCAGAAATGTCAGTTTTCTTCACGGATTCTTGTTACAGCGAATCAGTTGGTTGCAGAGACGCACTGTCAGATGAAGAAGGCGACGTAGAGGGTGCGGGTCTCTTTGGGTTCAGAGTAGGCTCGCTGAGGAGGGAGACAGGTTCGTTTTGAATATTAGCTGGGCGGCTTTTCGTTGACTCTGTATGTGTGTGAAGCGTAGAGGCTTGAGTAGATTGATTTGGGCAGAGCTTGGCTGTGTGGCCGCTTTGTTTGCATACAAAGCAATTCATAGAGTCTGTACTGAAGTAGATCCAGTAGGCAGTGTTTTCGTAGTTAAGTTGAGTTGATTCCGGGAGTAATTTTTCGTCCTCTTCTTTTATGTAGATTTGTCTTCTGAATGACAGTATGTGAGACCGACCCGGTTTATTCAAACCTGCTCTTATGTGAGTGATGCTGGAGACTGGGTTGATTCCTTTATGTTTTAGGCATTCGAGTAGAGTGTCGTGCGGTATGACTGGACACACGTTGGAGATGACGACCCTTTTGTTTTTTCCAATGAGAGGTCTGATTTTGAGTTTGGCGTCTTTAACTATGACTTCTCTGCTAGAGAGATTCGATACTAAGCTTGTGTCGCTGAGGTAGACACATACTCTGTTGCCTGAGATCTTGGATATAAACTTTATGTTGTTGGGATCCGTAAGAATTTCAAGGCCGTCTATGTAGTCGTCTATTGCCGCTCCTACGATTGAGTCTAAAACAATGGCATGTTCCTTTTTTGGGAGAAGAGCTTGAGCTGTAATTGAGGCGTAGCTGTTAGATTTTGGTGCTGTGGAAGGGGTGTTGCTGTGATTATCTTTGTGGACGTCTTTGTCAGACTCCATTGTGGCTTGATGTTGTTGCAGCATTTCAAACTGCATCTGCAGTTTGAGAGCTGAGACACTAGCTAATCCTTCTAATAAGAAGGATTCGCTGTAGAACTTATGCACTAACACTCACAGTATAGCTGATTACACAAATAATATAAGGTTTAGTAGGAAGGTACAAACGCGTCGGTAGGCTGATTACAGCGCGAGTAAACACGTCTGCTCGCTTCGGTGTCTTAAACGCGACTCTGGAATCGTACATCTTTTACTCTATGAATCGAAGTACACTTGAAAAAATAGATGATTGAGAAGAGGAGCATAGCAAATAGACCTTGCATTTAAAAAGGCATTCTTATTACTGCGTACAAATTGTATCCATCCTTTATACGCCATTTTCCAAACTGTTATTCTTGTGTTCACTGCAATAGAAATAATAATAAGAATGGCATTTGCTTCATTTCTGTATTACACATCAGTTTACAAACTAGATACTTTGAAAACCAATTATCTATAGATCCTGTAAGAAAACAATCTTGTTAACTGGTAGCGCAAAAAATTAAATACTATAATTGCTGCATGATATTAATCACTATATTTTTGACATTAATTAGATCTTTTTATTGTAAATGATAAATAGGAATAATAACAATAAAAATCATTATAGTTGTTTCCCAAGTTTATATAATAGCAATTTGTTCTGACTACATTAATGATCGATAATTTTAGTTTTTGTTCACTTTAAAAATATTTTTGTAATAAACCGACTGCAGGGGTATAGGGAGACCTTACAACAGAGTTATTACGAAATCAAATTTGATAACCTAATTCTAATCATCTTTGTAATGTAACTTGTATCAATATAGTAAAATTTCACATTTCATTTTATTTTCATTTCTTCGATTCTGAGTATATATATATATATATATATATATATATATATATATATATATATATATATATATATATATATATATATATCTTTTGAAACAATGAATGTGAAATGATGATCCATCTTATGTCGACAATCCATCACAATTTTTAGCCTACTCTTGGAATTACTCTCATCCTATGACGAAAGAATAATTTCTCCCTTGCTTTCCTAATTAGTTTCTCGTTTATTTCGTCGGGTATTCTATCTGTACTCTTCACTACATGGCTAGAAACAGGTTTTGTCTGTGCCGTACAGTAATTTAAAATATGAGAGTTTCCAAGTCCAGCATATTGGTAAGTTTCAAAAAATGTATCTGTAGGGCGTTTCAACCTTACGTAAAGACCTTCACTAATTTCCAAATGCTTTCCCCAAACCTTCGAGTCTGGCCATACTATACCTAACAAATCAGACGTACTATTTGGAGTCGGATTACTGCAATATGAAATATCAATTTATATGTACTGTAGCTTTTACAAAACCATGTAATAAAATGTAAGTGGTAAAGCGTTATTGTATTAACCTGTATTTAGCAAAGTTTGTCCACATACGAGTCATTCTTTGTCTTGTTATTTTTATGGTAGGTTCTTCAAGAGGAAGTTGTATGTGAGGTCTATAAAATATGTAAGACAATTCGTCTCCGTGTCCAGCTCCTTTAAATATTCATCGATTATTGGTTCATTACAGTTAGTACCATACACATTGTATATTATTATATTATTTTTCATGAATTTTATTACCTTTCATACGTACACCTTCGGTTTTATGAGCTGAAAATTGAGGATCAAAAGTATAGCGGTAATAATAAATAGGGTAATTATTATGATCTAGCATTATCCGTTGCTTCATATCTATACCAGTAGTAAAAAATATGTCTGAAGTGTCCTAAAAGAATGTTAAATAAAATTAGTAATTATTTTTCAACTCATTTATTATACTATTTGTGAATGTTTCTTCAATAGAAAAAGACCTTAAGCAGCTGATTTATTACGGTTTCCGACAAATTTGAAATTTCAGAAAATTTCAATTTCGCAATCTGGGTTAAAAGTGGCAAATAAATATCTAGTTTACCAATCTTCACCATTTTCAAAGCAGTATTGACCATATCTAATAGTGTTCTAAAACCTGATAAAAATGCAAATTATTAAAATTATATTATGATATTATTTCTTTTGCAACCTAACTTCACCAAAAGTTGAAGTTTCAACTGCAGTAAAGCCCATCAAATGAGGTCCTTTATTATAGTTGCCTAGCGTATATTTAATCATAGAACACTGTGTCAAGAATTTTTCTTGGTGTTTGGCGACCGAATTGTCTTCAACTATCGGTCTAAAAGGCATCTAAATCGAAAATTGTAAAATAGTTTATGCAATAATATAGTATCTTCTAATGAAAAATATTATATACATTAGCAAATTTATTGTAATATAGCTACAACATGTTAAAATATTTATTTGACTATTTTAACAAAGTCTGAAAATTATCTCACCATTGGGATTACATTTGATGCTCTAACGATATCGTGAGCCGATGCTTTGTAAAGAACTTGAAGCAGTTCGTTTTTGTTGCTTGTAACTTTGCCAAGTTTGGATCCAAGAATGAAAGCATTTTTCTCAGCTTCTGATGCACTTTCAATACCCCAGTAAAGGCACAGTGTTGAACCACTCATGCCAATCGATTGTTTGAACAAACCTACGAAGAAATTGAAAATTAAGAAATCAGACTTGAAGTTTGTTCGAGAAATTTATAACAGCGAAGATATTTTTGACGGTACCAGAAGACATATTTGAAAGTATATGGAGATCTACGGCAACTGATCCGGCATTTTGACCGAAAATCGTTACTTGTTTTGGATCTCCTCCAAAATTAGCGATATTTTTCTGGACCCATTTGAGAGCTAAATTTTGATCTTTGAGTCCACAGTTCCCAGTAGCATTTTCATGATTCAAACTTAAGAATCCTATATTAACATTTTTAAGCTGAGAGTATATTCTTACCTAAAACTACGACGGAGCACTTAAATATACTACCTAAGGCATCTAGACGATAATTCATGGACACGACAATAACGTCTTCTTCAAGAAGAAAATCTGGTCCATAGTAGGAAGCGTTAGAATTACCAGTTCTGTATGCACCTCCGTGAATCCAAACCATCACTGGCTTTGCTTGTTGATGGTGGAATTGGATCTATAAAATAAATATTAAAAACTCATTATAAACTAAACATTCCATTACAGATAATAACAAAAGAACAGCGTTACTACATGAGGGGTGAAAACATTAAGATACAAGCAATCTTCCGAACCAACAACCGTCGAACTTGTGCTATTGTATTGAATACACATACTTCCTTCTGTGGTAGCATTTAAAACATCTTCCCATGACTCTGTTTCCTCAGGAGGCTGCAAATTATTTCATTTATTTAAAAATTTGTTCTTTTTTTCTTAGAATGTACAATTTTTACTTAAAAAGTTTAGATATTTATGTCTGAAGTGTTGGTAATATACGCCAGATATCATGAACGTGCGTATTCTACATATCATATACTAGTCATTGCTATCATTTACAAAGTAACGGTAATGTCTGATAACTTAACAATACGAGTACATACCTGTTTGTAAAAGGAAGTTGATTAGCTATTCTTATCGAAAGTATACATCTATCGGAGATTAGTATATAGTGTTTGCCAAAGAGATAACCGTAAAATTAAATATTTGTTTTCATTAATATTAGAGATCTTCATATACTCAGTGGAACTCTCCCGCGCCTTCTTTTTCCCGAACATAAACGCATTTTTTCAAAATAAGAAAATTGACATACGAGTAAGTTGCGATCGTCTAGAAATTATGTATGAAAACATTTTTTGCTGCAAACAATAGTGCACAGATATTGTGATTTCAATTGTGACTTGAAGGGCCAATTTTGAACACTAATGGTCGATCGTTTTACTGGTTGGAGCATTTCATCATATTACCTTATAAGAACAAAATTATCGCTTATTCATATTACGATTTCTAGCAATTTATTGTTTGCAGTGAAATAATTATTTCAAAACAGTTTCTCGGTACCTCCCAGCTTACTCTGATATATCAATTTTATCTTTTTTAAAAGGTTATTAGGAACGGAGGGTTCGAAAATATATTTATCTAACATTATTTATTTAGTTGTAGTGAAATTATTTTATTATTAATTTATTAGTAGTATTATCTATTAGTAGTAGGTGAAATGGCAAAACGTCAAATTATCATTACCTGGAATCTTAAATGATTGACAGGAGGTTTCGCATATGGAATCCCTTTAAAAGCCGCATATGTCATAAATTTGTCTATTGTACTTAAAATTTTACCTCTAACAGGGCCACTATGTGTTTGAATAATAGATGTAAATGCTGTTTTTCCCGTTGAAAATAACACAAATAACCAGCAGGATAACGCGAAAAATTTCTTAACTAACATTTCATCAACGGTTGATTAAATCTATTAAGTATGTTTATGAAATTTTAATACTACCTACAACGAGAAAGTACTCTAAAATTGAAAAGCTTAATCTATTTAAGCAAAAGTATTATCACTGGTTTTTATTTAATTTGTCAGGCAATGAGGTTTATCGTAATGAAAACCATATGTTGATAAATTTATTCATTACATCAGTATTCGTCTCTAATTAGATATCACAATTTATAGAATCATTATCACGTTTCCTTAAATCTACTGATTAATATGTTGGCTACCGAATTTTAGTGAAGCTGCGTATGCAGTAAACGTTATTCAATATTAGTATATTCTTGTGGTCCTACTGTTGTAACATATACAATTATTGTGACCATTGTTCATATTTTACAAATAATTCAATATTATTATAAGCTTTTGCTATCTGCACTTTTGTTGCGGTTATGAATACAGAAAATAAAAAATTTCTTTCTTCGGCTTATTTTCTTTTATTTTTCTATCTCCCAACATAATAAAATTTTTATTTTGATGCCCTTTTGGCGCACTAGTCAATCACCTGGATATCGATGACTTATAATTTTTTTTATATAGAAATAAGATAATAAAAGGAAGAAAAATAATACAGATAAGGGTTGCTCATAATATTTGATACTCATAATAAAATCAAATAATAATGTAGATTTGGAAGAAAATATTACATTTTGTTATAAAATTGAGTAAATGCTTGTAGCTTATATGATGATTCAGACAAAAATTGGTGTGCAACATGCGAATAGTAAGAAAGAGCAGCAAGGTTGCTGCTGCTCTACTATATTAAGTGCTAATACGTGACAGTCTGTATAGGCAAGCCCCTCAGCATCTTCCTTGAGTACACTAGCACTTGAACTTTACAAAAGAGAGGCATATGTGCATAATTTGAATTCACCACGAAGTTCAATTAGGGCAAATTCATGTTGAAGAATATATCAAAGTTGTAAGAAATCTAATTGCGTTTGCTTATTTGGAAAAGACGTGTCAACAATAGAACCTCTACTGAGCAAATCAACTGCAATTGGAAAAATACTTAAACTTTTAAGAAATAAATTTACTACTAGTAGCATAGCTTAACGTTTCTCGCTATTATAAGCAATAGGATGTGTTTATGTTCAACAGGAAATAAAAATATTTAAACTGCACTATAGATTCAACAAGTGCTAAATTTTAAAGTTGAGCATCAATTTCTCTTTTATCATTGATTAATTAGTGACAGACAAATGCATACGAAATGTTATGTAGTAATAAAGTTAAACTTAATTAAGCGAAAAATGTGCATATCTTTGAATTAAAGTATAAAATACAATAGATGTGCGTCATGTTTAACGGAAACTTTTAATCGAAGGAGATTATTGTTAACTATATCGGTAACATCTGTTGTTTACTTTTATTGACGTGTTTTACCTTGCTCTTTTACTGCTTATGTTGCCTGGAAAAATTGAATAATTACAACTGCTAACCTTGAGTGACAAAAACTACTTTTAGTATTCATAAGAAAGTATTTATTTTCTCTTTAACTACTAGAATAAAAGAAATTCTCATAAATTAAATAAGACATTTTTAGTTATAAAAAATAAAGTAGTTGTTTTTTATATATAGCGAATGCTTTAAAAACGTATAAAAATCAATTTCACTTTTCTGTTAAATTTAGGTACTAAATATCTAGATTTTCAATAAACAAACATTTGTTATAATAACAAGTTTTATAAAATTAGAGCGGGATTGGAAAGGTAAAAATAAAATTGTAAAATACATTTTATACAATTTTTTCTACAATTCTATTTATTATGAAAATATAATACAAAACATCCTATGTCATATTACATAGATAACAATGCTCAATCAACGTTTGTCCATTTTATGTTGCGCAACATTATCTTTCATCACTGCCTAAATCTGGTCGCCTTTTCAGTAGTTTTCTTTTTGTTTCTTTAATAAACAACGTGGAATCATTCGTTCTCACTTTTAGAGGAAAGATCTGATAGAGAAAGCGAGATTGAAGTAGAAGGTTCGCCATCACGCAAGGCGACACTTTGCAGATTTGAAAGAAAATAAAAATAACAATACAGCTGTCTTAGGATTTGGAAATTATGGTATTTTACATTGAACTCGATATCGTCGAATTGTATTTTCACGACTGCAAATAATTTTGTTTCTTCTGCTTTTGACTTGTTCTGGTTATTTTTTCTTTTTATTTGCACGTAACAGCGTCGATGTACAATGGAGTTTTGTATTAGAACTAGTTACAAATAATACAAACGTATTTAAATATGTATTGTAATATAAATAAGTTTTTCTTAATGGAAAATTGAAGCTTAAGTTTAATCATCTAGCGTAACTATTTTTCTTTATTTCACACCATTCTACAATACTCTCTTACGTATTTTTTTAGTCGCGTGGCATGTATGAGCATTCTCCCGACTTGTCAGTTAAAAATCCCTCCTCAATTTTGACAATGGAAAAATGCAATTGTCTTCTATAATTTTTCGATTTTCAAATTGAAAAATAATAATTTCAGCATGTGAGCGCTTTGCCTCTGAAGATAATGGACGGAAAAGCTCTGAAAGTATTGTTACTTGTACAACGCGCATTTATAGTTTTAGCATTTATTAAAACTCATTTAACACGGAAGGCTAAAAGAATAATGAGAAAAGAATTTATTGACTAGTCGAGAGAATTGCAGCCACTAAACAAAATATATCTACAATATTTGCTTTGCTGCTACTTGTTTATTTAATTTATTAAAATTAATCTACATATCACTACCTTGTAGGCGAACCTTCATCACTCGGACTTTTCTTTTTCTTTGTAACATCAAAAAACCCACTGAAAAATTGAGCAAAATTCTTTTTTGAAGAAATATATTTGGTACTCGACCAACAGAAAACGCATGATTAATTTTGTCAAGTTTGCAAATGATTTAAGAAAAACTATGATTGATTGATTTTGACTGATTGAAAAAAAGGTCCGAGTTTGGTACAGCGTACTCAGGCATTACAGTGTCTTCATCTACGCAATCGCTACGTACAGTTAGCACTATACGATTAGAATAAGCTGTATTTTACTGTTGATAATTATATTGTAATATTGATTCAGCCGGGCATAACTGGTGTATAATCTAATGCGCATTATTATTTATTAATGTATGCACATACAATCTTAACGTCCTCGATTATTCGTCTACTTTTTCCATATTTAAGCTTTTTTGCATTTCTACCACACTTTGTCGTTGATCCAACTGCATCGCTGTCAGTTACAGAAAAAATCCATACAAGATTAAGTCGATGCATGCGGTTTCTTTTTGGTTTCACATTTTTCAACTATATCTCCGCGCAGATGTAATAATTAGTCTTAATACTTGAATTCAGCAAATAGTAGCGTATATTTAAGTCATTGAATGCATTAGCCATTTGTTTATTTGTTTTATTTATGTATGTTTAACATTCTATATTGCTCTTTATATTGCTTTAGTAGCAGTTCAGCTGCACTAGCTTTTAGTCGCACGTTGGTATGATCATAATTTTAGTGTTGCTTTTCAAGTGCCTGTTACATGTGTCTTTGTTTTATTTTTTACTAATAGATTACATTCTATCTTCTATACCAACTTCAATATTGCTTCATAAACTTTGTTATTATAATTATCAAAAAATGTCCATGAATCATTTTTCGATTTCGTAAATTTCGCCGAATATTTCTTTAACAATTGATTCCTAATATTCACTTTACTCATCATTTTAATTTTTTTTCATTTTATAGTTTCTTTTTAGATTTTGCGAGTAATGAGATAACTAAAAGAAAGTAAGGACATTTTTTCATTTCACGTAGAAGATATTGCCATTCTAAAAAGTTCAGTAATTCAAATATTCGTACAATATTATCGTTTATAATTGTTTTCTCATGCACTTGCATCAACAATGTATGTTATACGTACGTATATAAGGAATAATATTGCTTCTACTCGCTTATTCGACTATTGGTGTATTATTTAATGTACATATCTAATATCGTTAGAGTTCTAGTTTATATAATTTTGTTTTTAGTTATATATAATAATATTATCAATGAGTTAGTGTCACTGCTAATTTTTTATTTATTTTCTAATATATAATTACTCAATTCAACATATTCTCTATAAATATAGTTAACTTCATATCATCATGTTGTTTTACGTCATTTTCGATGTATAATTTTCAACGAACTAATTTTTTTAAATTATCATGTATGTTCAACCTCTCGTTTATTCTCATTGTGCTCTTCACACGTTTTCACTGTAAAGAGATCCATCTCTCTCTCTCTCTCTCTCTCTCTCCCTCTCTCCATTTGCGAGTATCTATATTTGCAAATTTAATTCTTCCTCTCTCTTATTATTGCAACTATATAGTATTATGCAATATACACTATATATTATATAATTTGTAATACGTGTTTTAAGTAAACGCTACAAAATATGGATACGTCCCTTATTACATTCGACCCTAGTAAAAATTACCATAATCAAACGGCTTGTATAAGTTGTCATTACTTTTTTATATTTTATTTAACTTACGTTTATTTATTTTATTACAGTACAGTAACATATTCTTCGAGTGATAATTCAACTCACATGCTTCTTCCAATCGTCCAAAATTTCTCATGTAAAGTATAATTCTAAAAAAACTTGGATAAACGCTGGCGTGTTAATTACATAGGATTGTACCTTTAAGTGAATATTAAATAGATCGTTGTAAAATATGGGGAATGGAAATAACTCATCGTTCGTATTGATCAATTGCGCAATTGGGAATGTTGCGTTGTTCAGCGCGAACGAAACGTCCGAGAATTAGCGTACGCTTGAAACACTCGCGAAGCAT